TTTCTCATCCTGGTAGCCTTCTCCCCCCTCCCCTTGCACCTTCTTTCACCAAGCATGGCGTGCTCTGGCCGCCTTCTGAGCAGGAGCTTGAGGCCAATGCTGAACTCGAGGAGAGGCTAACGCATCTCCAGATTAGCAGTGTCAAACCTCCACCACTCCCTGCATCCTGAGAAAGATGCAGCCTTTCAGAGGGGTTGGCTAATGCCCATTAACATAATGAAGCTGGGACCACCATGGCATGGACAGTGACCGTGGGCTGATGGAGAGGAGCCTGCTCAGACTTCATGTTCTCATGTCTCCACAGCCTTGGGAGGTTTCCATGTGGACAGCCTGGATGTGTAGGGGTGAAGGGTTATTATCATACCACTAATTAAAAGAAGGTCAAAGACTGATCCTTGACCAAGACCAGCTCATGTTCACTGTGGAGATGGAGGTTTCTTTTTGGAGAGCTGTTGCTGGAGACACCAGAACACAGCCAAAGTGAGAGAGCAGGTAAACAACATGAGCAGTCAAGACATCCAGCACTTGCTCCCTGGACCTCTTATTTAGCAGGACAGTATTTTCCCAAGGTGGCCCCTGTTAGGAGCAGCACAGTCCCTGTCAAGCCAGTGGAGCTAGCTCCAAGAGGACAGAGCAAAAAGCTGCTGGTGTGCACCATGTCACTGGGACCTTGCCAGGGGATGCCCTGGCATGGGCAGCACGTGTCCTGCCTGCCAGCAAACAGCCTAGCTGCAGTCCAAACCTTACATTCCCAAGCCTCACGCTTCTCAAATTGGCTGTCTTCTCCTTGGCCTTCACAGCTGTAGGAACGAGGCTGCATCATTTCCACTGCGCAAGGAGCGGTTTGTGTTAGTTGATGCAACCACTTTGTTAGATCCTTAGGGTTTATGTGAAGAAGGAGGTAAGTCAAGTCGCACAGGCACCTACAGACCCATTAGTCTGACCTCACCTAGGCTTCTGAACAAGCAGCTTGGTGAGTGGCAGAGGTATCTATCAAGCCTGGCCTTCCTCTTTCTCCAGTGGCTGAGAAACCTCCCCAAAGTGGAGGTTTTAAAATGTTGCTTTTCCAGGTGGACACCTCACCACCCAACAAGGGTAAGGTCCTGCAGCATTCCCTTTGGTAGGAGCACGAATAACATTTCTTACCTCTACCTGCAAGGCTGGTTTTGCATAGGAATGGATTTTAATCTTCGTGAACTTTACTCCTTTGACAAAGCTATTTGAAATTGTCTGAGAGATTCAAATGTTACTGGGAGAAAGAAAGATAACTACGTTTGCACACCCTTATTATGTAAAACTGGTTTCTTTACTAAATCTTGTTAAGAGCTATTGAAGGAAAAAGGTGTTCAAAAAACATATAGATGTGGCACTTTGGGACATGGTTTAGTGGACATGGTGGTGCTGGGTTGACGGTTGGACTTGATGACCTTAGAGGTCTTTTCCAACCTTAATGATTCTGTGATTCTATGATTCTATGAAATACAATAAATGCAACAAGGGCTTACCAAATGAGCCCTCTCTCTGCCTTTGATAAGAAACGACATTTTTTTGGAGGAAGGAAATGCAGTAGACGTAGTCGGTCTGGACTTCAGTAAAGCATTTGATATAGGTCCACATGGGAAATCATTAGTTAAGCTTGAAAAAATGGAAATTAGTGTGAGAAATGTATAGTAGGTAAGAAACCAGCAAGTGGGGATATAATGAGAGAGGCACTATACATCCAGAGACAGGCTCTGCACCTTTCTTCCAGAACTGCTCCTGCAGCCAATTTCATTTTAATATCCTCCATAATGAACTTGGTGCAAAAAGCACCTGCACGCTAATCAGCTCTGGCAATAATTTTAACTTGAGGGAGGTGTGTAGGGGTAAAGGGGTAACTATAGCTGCTATTTTGATCCAGAAAGAGAGCAGAGAAAGTGAGAAGGGGGCTTTTCCTTGCCATGTGACGCCAGCTGTCATTGCAGGTGGGAGTAATGGGAAAATGGTTACCACCTTTAATTTTTTCATTTGGCTGTGTATCTGTAAGCCCAGAGGAAATTCTCTCTATGCCATAGAGAGAATATTTGATTACTCTGAGGATCAAACGGGTAGGAAGAGGATAGAGCGTATTAGTGCAGAGGGCAGGGCTATGCATTCAGGGCCGAGTTGGCAGAACATGGTTTGAGCTCTCCTGGCTTCCCTGGCACCGACCCTGCTCATCTCACCCGTCCAGCTGCCTCCGCTCTGCCAGAGGAAACCTCCAGTGTGGGGCAATCATGGCTTCATGTTTTGGTCGTCGGGTGACCAGAGCAGGAGAACACATTTCTGTGGATTGGCTCGATGAAAGCCTTGAACCAGCAAGACCCAGGTTTCCTTTAGCAGCGTATGATGGGAAGCTGGAAATGCTAGTTCCACCTTAACTGTGTGTTGTGCCTTTTCCCCACATTATTCGCTTTCCTAATGAACACTCTTTGGATCACACAGATCCCTTCCTGTTGAAGGTCGACTAACTTTCACATACCAGCAGTGCTTTATGGTGTGCTTTGTATGAGATTAACTCATCTAATAGCCACATCCCCAGATGAAACCTTCCAAACCTTGCGTTCCTGCTCTTTTCCACTGCCAGCTACAGTAGTACTCGAACATGTAAAGGACAGTATAAAAAAGACAAAATGAAAGTAATTTCCCTGCCAACATCATCCAATTGTACATATATGTGGTATTTTTCAGGTACCTCACTTCCTCTGACTGCCTGCAGACTTCATTACTGCAACTTGTGCAGGCTCTGGTGCTCTCCTTCCACCCATGACGTCCTCAGTTATATTATCATTAACTCATTAGATGAAGGTAGATGATGTACCAAAGAAGAAATGTGTGGAGAAAGAGAACAAAGCTTAACAGCAATAGAAAATGCTAATCTGCATAATTTAGGTGAGAAGGGCACCTCTCAAAAAACTGAAGGGTGATGTGGACTACAGAAGATGTGCAGGAAGGGTGCCTGGAGCCTGGTGCTTTGATAGGAGCAGCTGAATAAACCAACCCTGGAAATTCCTTATAGATCACTGTCTGAGAGAACCGCTGCTATTTGCTAAATAGTCTTCTGATACATAAACTTCAGCCAAAATTAATGTAAGATTATTCTTCTTGTGTCTGCCTCAAAGCCCAAAGGCAGCTATAGTGCCTGATGGGCCACTTATCTCTGCAACCCTTAAGGTGCCAGGTGGCTGCAGGCTGTACGGTCTGTTTGCATGGCAGGCACTCAAGGACCCCCCAAGGTTAGGAGCAGTCCTGCTCTTTCCCCCCAAATCAAGCTGCAAAGACTGACTGAAAATGCTGACCAGTTCCCTGCCTTTGGTCTGCCCAATCCCCACCAGTGCCATCTCCCAGCTTTTCACACTCAAGACAAGTACCAGACTGAGATCATTCAGGAAGGGAGCTGAATGACATGAAATACCAGAGGTACCATTAATTCCAAAGGACCTCACATATTTTACAAACCCAGGGACATATTTTCAAATTTCTGAGTTTGTATTAAATTGATGCCTAAATAACTTTGTTACACTAAGATCTGCAAGTGCAGTGGGACTTCACAGCCCTACAGTCATTGATAACATTGCTTAAATTTTGACTCATGTTCCAAAATCTGGGGGCCCAAAGATATATAAAGAATTTTCCCATACTTTTCCAAAATGCAGCGCTACCTAGGGGTAACATCACAGCTACCCAACAGTGCACACAGCATTTAGCGACAAAAAGTGAGCACGAATACAAATACATCCATTCTACATTTGGGGAAGAATGCGATTTCTCAACTACAACTGAAGCCGTTTAGCTTTTCTGGCTTTGTAAAAATCCAAGAGATTCTCTCAGAATGAGGAAGAAGAGATGGGAATCTGTTGCATTACTTATTTCTTATTCTCAAACGAATCTTCAAAACCAATAAGGAGGGCAGATGAAATTGCAAGTCCTAAAAAAACTTACAGTTTGCCTTTGATGGGCCCATCAAAGTTCAAGCAATGGCCTAGTACTTTAGTATTTATTATCCTCTTTATTTTTATATTCTCAACCCACCCTCTTCCAGATCCTCACTTCACATCAGTCATAAATCTCTCCCATCTCACTCATCGGCATTACATCTGGACAAAATTATAAAAGGGTTAATATAAAAAGCATGCTTGCTGGATAGATTGTCTCTCTCCATTTAAATTCTTTCAATGCTCAAGACAATTTGAGTTTTAGTTGCACATTCATCATCAGAAATACATTTATGTGCTGATTTATATTGTGGATGAAATGTTTTTTATTTGTACATAAAACTATAAACTTTTCATGTAAAATGTAACTTTGGAATATTACTAGTGGGATATTAAGAACCAAGAAATTGAGGGTTTGGGTTTTAAGATTTCATCTGGTGCATTGTGATCAAAATAATATGTGCTTAATTGTGCAACAAGTATATATGCAGGTATGTATGTTACCTTTTTGGCATTTGGAAAAAGCACAGGGATGAATCTGAAATTCATACTTCCTTGTTGTATAAACTCGATCTGCATCTAGAATAGAACAAATTGCCAGATTTATTGTAACAACATGTTAATTTTTCTTCGCATACATCTGAATCCTATGCATAAAAACATTTGTTGCTTACTTAAACTGCTCTTCTGTTAAGTGATTTGATCTATTGCTGGTGGACTCGGTATTGCTTTGTTTGGCCACTTAATCTGATTCTTCATGACTACAGAAAGGATACAGGAAAGATCTGTCAATGTTTCTTGGGCATTTAGTTCTGTGGTGTGAAATACTTGTGGGTTTATCTGCAGTTGCAATCCCATGAAATCCATCTAGAACCGATGAAGCTTGACTTGACTAAGGCCTCTCTGTTCAGTCTCCAACAGGGTGAAAGATTTCAGCCGGAGGCCAGCTGTGTCCAAGCCAGGACCCAGCCTGTTCCCCATGTCCCCAGCTCCATCTCTGAGCTGGGGTCCAGCCTGGCCCCCGTGTCCTCGGACACAGGCATCCTGGGGGTGGTAAGGACAGCAAAGTACTGCTGAGAGCTCACCTGTTGGTGACAGCCTCTGAGAAATTTGACTGCAGGATCAAACTGGGGGATCAGATAGATTATAGGGTTAGAAAGGCAGCAGACTGCCAACTGAGGGAGAAAGGATGAGGTGCACGGTTCTGTGGGCTTTTCCGGGCTAATGTCCATCCTCTGATAGACTGCAGAGGTCTGTGACCCCCACTGGTGTCCTGCCACCCTGCACCTCTCGGGACCTCCTCTTTGCAGCTCTGCCCTTCGCTTTGCAATTCCACCTTTCAGTCAGCTTTACTGCTGCCCGAAAAAAGACCTCAGTTACAGGATGGCTGAAGTGATAGGGGCTGGTTTATAGGGAGGAAGGTCAGGCGCTGTTAGATAAGATTGTGCTCAGGGCTATACGACAGGGCAACAAGGGCTCAAAAAGGTGAAGGAGGGAAAAAAACATCGAACAATAAAAAATATGGAGAACTAAGATGAGCATGTTTAATAGGATTTTTCTTCCTTGAACCTCTTAGCAGATGTTAATGAGCATACGGAGCTGATGAGAGGGAGGATTAATGAATTCCAAAGGGGGGTGTTTAACTATGGGGATTAGGGAAAACAAAGCAAAGAACCTGCCATTTGGAGACAGATTTGTCTTTTGAGAAGAAGAGACAGAGTCTTTGTAAAACAGCAAATGCATGTCCTTGCTTACCATCCTGTGGATGTATTTAGTATGTAAGCCGTGTTCATCCCTGTCCAGCTGGGATTCAGCCCCTTCCACATCCTGTTTGTATTTTGGACTGATTGCTATGATTATCATCACTGTCTTCTGTTAGGGAAAAAAAGCACTTTTATGAAATTGGGAAACGCAGCATGTTTGGTAGAGGCAGATCGGAAATCTGCCAGTTTGTGTTTTAAGTGATCTTTATGTTCTTGGCAAACACGAGAGGATCTCATTCATTCTGGCAGGAAATACAGGAGAACTCGTACACTCGTTCTCCTCATTATTGCTCGAGATCTCATAATATAGAAAATCTAAATGTCAAGAGATATATTAGCAGCTACCAGTTTACAGTTGGAATCCCTGTAATAAAAAGCTACTTTTTATCAGCGTAGAGTGTCTATGTGCATACACAGAAAAGTTTTATCTTTAAATTCAGACGTAAACATTTTCCAACAACTTATGTAAAAGTGCATCTATTTAACCATCTATGGCTTCTTATGCATAAAGCCACTAAAGGCAATTGTCTGTGGAAGCCCCTACATCTAGGGCTCTTGGCAACAGAAACAGCAACTGTTCTTGCTGATCTTGGTGGCAAAGCATGCAGAGAGGTGGCTGTGCAGACAGGTGGGCTGTTGCAGATGCCCTGAGCAGGTTTAGGGGTACCTAGCAGCTGTGTCCCACTTTGCCACAGTGGGCTGAAGGCAACGCTCCTCGCCTTGCCGGGACAGCCTGGATTCTTCTTGTGACCTGTTTAATCCCAGGCCCCCATTGAGCTCAGGTTTCCACAGGGGGTCATCCTTCATATCTGGGGAACGTCTCTCCTCCTTAATGGTGGGCCAGTGAAGAGGGTCAGCAGATGAAAGCCTCCTACTTGTGTTTACCGAGGGCCTGTCTTTCATCCCCGCCACATCAGGCTGTGTAAGGCTTCCAAGTCTGTGGCTCATAGTCAGCCTGGCACCTAATTAACTCCTTCCTTCTGTGCAATACCAGGGGAATTTGCCCCACCACAGGTCAAATACAGTAAGGAGCCATTATCCCTTACACCGACTTAACATACTCCAGAATTACTTTTGCTTGTGCCTGACATGCCTGTAAGCACTTACAGATGTTGAGGGTTTGCAGAGACATGCCCGGTTGCACACATCCCCCTGCTTGTGTCCGAGCAGTCCCTTCTTCCTCACACATGTAGAGGTTTTGAAGTTAGAAACTGCCTCTACAGTCAATGGGGGAAAACAAATGTTTCTGGGGTGGGCAGTTAGAGAAGGATCATCATGTGGAGGCAGGGAATTGCTCTCTGCACATACTGGTCTCTCCTATTGACTGCACAGGAGTCCCAAAGGAGATCTGCCAGTTTGTATTTTAAGTGATAATGACATTCTTGGCAAAAGCAAATTCACCCTGGCTTCTAGTTTCAGTACCTCCATTACACACGGGGAACCCAAGCCTAACTTGTCCTGATGAAAGCCCCAAAAGGCATGACTGCACTGCCGCAGCAGAGGCCCCAAGCTGGCTCTGCATGCAGTAGTACCATGCCTGCGTGGTCGTGCACCTGAGCTAAGGTGTCCTGCTGGACACCTTTAGGAAACCTTGTAGTGCTTCCTTGCTCAGGTGGGGGTGAGCCCACCACTTTGTCATCCTGTTCCTGAGCCGTGGAGTTCTGCCCAGAGTGAGTCAGAAGCCCAGTGGCTACCCAGCAAGGCACAAATCGAAGCCTCGCAATGATGGCATGTGTAAAGCGACAGAATCGCTAGTTTGTGTCCCGCTGTGCTGGTATAATGGGACCACTTGGCTTGGTCTAAAGGAGATGTGCACTCACTGCTCAGTTGAACTTTGGAGGAAGTTGTTGCTGAGGGGGGACTGCACTGCCAGCAACATAAATCTCTATTTTACTGCTTAGATAGATACAAAGCAATGACAGCAAATCTATCATTCGACAGACAGAATACTAGTTTGCAGTTTACATATAGGATGTTTTTTCTGGAAGAACCCTTCAGTGTTTTAGCAACATGAAAGCTACAGGTGAGAAGCAGGATGAGCATTAGCCACTACTGTGCAACCTGGGATGAAATACAGGTATCATTTTAACCAAGCATAGCTAAAAAACACTGTTTAAAAATAAGATGGAGGAACAACATGTCCAGTGGCAGCTTCAGGCTGAATGTAACAGCCAGCACTGGAATTTGGCAGGGAGG